GTTCAAATGTGATTGCGGCATGCGAAGACCGTGTTCATGTAGTCGCGGAATGTCCGTGATACAAGAAGCAGAGGAGAGGGAAGTGTACGTGACTGAGCTGGGAAAAATAGATGGGATGTACAGGGAGATGTTTGAGGCATGGAATAGAGAGGAAAGGACGGTAGCTGTACTGGGGCATAGGAGGTGGGTTGAAATGGCGGGAAGGGATATCGTTAGGATAGGCTACCTTTGGAGTACCCTGCTCAGCGGTGAGTCACAATGTAGGCGCAGGAACATACGGTGTTCCTCGTTCCAAGCTTGAAACCAAGCATAAATCCCGACTTCTGTAGAAACGCATATGGACAGCAACGCCGCAGGGAGGACACGTTTTCTAGAAGATGCAAGGATTCAGCACGAATTCGGATGGATCGCCAAGCACATTTATCTCTACAGGAATCCACGTGCAAGCTCCAAATGCCGAAGAACTAACCTTGGAGGTTGTTCCGTATCAGACTAAGCCCGACTACTCGGCCCTGGTCGTTGACGTTGACTCCATCCCATGTAGCTAGGACAGCATCTGTGTCCCAGTTGTCTCTTCGCCACCATCCAGCCCCGCCGGTCGAACGAAACAGGGCAATCAGCGCTTCACGGTCCGTGGAAGACATTGCTCAGGGAACCTGCGCGGAGTCGATTTGGCGACACGGCCTCAGCAATTTCAATCCCCAAACACCCCGCCAACTTGCTTGCGATTTGGACTCATGGCGCCTCTCGATCACCAAAGATCAAGGGAGAATGCGGGAGAATTGAGAACAGGTGCAACCGGCAGTACTGCAAAGACGCCCGGCAATGCCAGCCTGAAAGCTGTCCACTGTTATGCATAGTGCAATAGACTACGTTGGTGGGATTTCGATGAACCGCTTAAGAGAAGCTAAGTACTATAGACCGTCTACTCTCACAAGCCAACGCGCTCCCCCGTTCCCGCCGGCGCGAACGCACGTGGATGTTGGGATACAGCAGCACCGTTTTTTTCTGCTCGCAGATTTGGATAAACAGCGCGGACACAAACAGCGTAGCTCCATGCTCACACAGAGCACTTGTCCGTAACTGGAAAGGAAAATACATCATACAGCTGGCCGCGGCATTCTTTCCAGATGGCAAGAACACCTGTGGGCACGCCTCGACCAAGAGGAAGTGTACCAAGAAGACTGAAAGCAAGCTCAAGGTGCAGAGAACAAATCGGGAAGTCAACTCACCGACGAAAGGAATAAAACGGGTCGCAGGGGCGAGTGCGGTATCCCGCTTGCAGTATCACGCTCCTCTCGTTTTGAAGGCCACCACTCCAAGACTTTGAACCCAGAGCTCTGGTAAGTCCTCCCCTCCTTGTTTGACCCCGTCCCAATCTGCCTTTTCTGCGGAGGAATCAAAGTAACCAACATCCAGACACTAGGGAAGATGGATATTTTTGTCGTATCCCTTGGCCCCCCCCCCCCCCC